TTCTCTTGGCCCTAGACCTCGGGGTATCACGGGCGAGTCACACTTTCAGCAAAAATAGGTGCCTACTGGAGCGAATGAAAATACATTTTCAATATAGTAATATAAGTTATTTACGGGATTGTTACCATGTACCTTGTATTTCGCGAGTTTCCGATATTTCGTCACTGTTGCAAGCGCCATGATCACGGAGTCGGTCGCACACATATTGGTCTAGCCTCCGACGAAGTCTTTTATTGCGTTCGATACCAGTACCACTGTACACATTCTCACTATTTACTCGAAACTGTTCTCGACACACAACACTTACAGTATCGGATCGCGACACGACACTTTTTTGATTATTTCCAGTTTTACACATACGAACCACAGGATTCCAGACACTCGACAATTTAAACCCGTCCTCACGATTGAAATTTTATATGTTTTGTTATTTCAATCGCTTCCCTGACCAATCTTGGTAGCGTTCTGTCGAGATAATCTGTGGGTTATGAAACTCCATCCAGTTGTTAGGATCAGAATCAATCAAATGTTCCGCCATGGCTGATTTCTGCGTATCGTTGTTCTTGGTTGCTTTTATGTGTTCCCTCATTCGGCATGATACTGTTCGCTTTGTTTGGCCAATGTACGAACTGCCACAGCTGCAATCGATCTTATAGACACCAGGTTTCTCCAAGGGGAAGTTGTCTTTAGGGGACCGTAGGTATTGTGAAACCTTTCGCACAGGAGTGAAGACAGTGTTTAGTGAGTACTTATTCAGTATGTTTGAGATCTTGTCAGTCACTCCTTTGACGTATGGCAAATAAACAGGTTGTCTATCTACTCTTTGTCTCTGGTGTCTTAGTTTGTGTCTAGATGGAAAATGTCCCTGGTATCCATTACTCTTTCATTCTGTCTGTCTTCTTCCATGAGATGGAACAAGACAGAAGTCTGGCCTTTCTGGACGTGAAGATTCGGGTGAAGAATGACGGTTCGCTTGGTCATTCCATTTAACGCAAACCTTGGCGCTTGCAACAGTGCCGAAATATCGGAAACTCGCTAAAAACAAGGTACATGGTAACAATCCTATAAATAACTTATATTACTATAATGTTAGTGACCATGAAAGTTTAAAACAATATACATTTTCAATGTTAAAAAACTAACGGTATTACTACTGGTTGTACAATAGGTAATAACAAGGGTAACAAAGGGATACTACTTGCTGACCCGCCGAACTTTGTGCCTCCTATAGTCGATAAATGAGGTTATCTTTAAAATTTTAAGCTTAATTTAATTAACATTTTGAAACCACATATTATAAATTTTAAAAGTTCAATAATTTACAGATTGTAGATTATTGAGAAAATGAAATTTAAAAGTCAATGATAACCTAACTACGTAGTTGGAAGAAAAACATTTTATCGCACTTTCCATTATATGGTGCATAATTTTGAACATTCGCACATTGTTTACAAAGTTTGGTAAATGTATTCCGGAGAAAATGTGTTGAAAAGTATATTATAGTAATATGTAGTAATTTATGCCTACTACTAATAGATTTATATTTTTTCGTCTCAAACATGATCAGTAAACTATATGTTAAAGTGTTTACAACCGTGCGTGAATGAGAGAGTAATCGTTGTTGACAGTGACATTGTGTAAAATTCCTAATATAAATGGTATACAAATTATGCACATTGACCACATTTGACTGGATTTAGCATACACATGATTAGGTAAGTCCCTATGAAAGGCCTACCAGCAAGGAGCACATTAGTAGGCTGATTATGACGTAATCAAAACCCGTAATGTAGAACTAATGCTGATCCACCACATCGTTATGTGTTCACCGTTTCAATGCAGGGAATGTAGCATTAGTATGTGTTCACTCTCTAATAAGTTTTCACATAAGTAGGTACTATTTTATTTTGTATATCTACTTCAAAATTAATTAGAACTGACTCGTACCCTGACATTCTTGAAACCAATTAGACATCGTTCTCTTCGATACCTGTTTGAGATTAGGTACTACAAGTTGTAACAAACTTTACACAAAAGAAACAAAATTTCAGTGGGCTCTTTGTTAAACATTACATTCAAGTAAGGTATTTGTTGGGAGTAACACAAAGTAATAAATCAACTACTGTCATTTATAGATCCTTGATAGTTATCTGGGAAAGTTATTCTATAGAAAAGCAGGTTGGTACTTTTTATTGATTATTTTCACTGATAACAAAATCAGGATGAATTTAAAATTATTTTCAATGACATTTCCAGAGGATGGTCAAAAGTTTGCGAAATCAGAACAACGAATAAATCTCCTCAGAAATCTATGAACTTTAACAAAAACTTTTCCTTTGCCGTTGTTTATCAGGTCGCGACTCGAAGGATCATCACTTTTGGTAGCAGATCGATAATGAGACAGAGATTAGATTATCATGAATCTTTTGTTCTCAAATATATATAGTGCCAGAGGTTGATTGAGGTTATTATTCCTTTTATTAGCTTTATGGGTCGACTATGAAGATTTATTTGTTTTGCTCAAGTAAAGAAAATAAAATTCGCAAATCTTGCGACATAGTTAGGTATTGTACCCCAATTAATTTTATAATCATCAAAATGTGTTAGTGAAAGAATGACTTGGCTAGCGCACGGGAGTTCAGTCACTAATTATTATATATATTTTATTTCACTAACTTTAATTAAATATAGCGCTGGTGAATTAATAGTACGATGCTCTTCTATCTACCTTTACGCCGAGTCCCGGGTAGGGTAGGCAGAGAGAATAGAGCGTCATAAGACACGGTCCGTACACTGCTTCACATTATATGTACAATTAGCGACCCGTCCGGATTCGTACGGGGCAAAATACCTAAAAAAAACATCAGAAATGTAGAAGTGTAAACATTTCAATAAGAAAACACCGATTTCTGAAATTTGTGGCAATTTTAAGTGATTTTTTTAAATTTCTGTCATACTGCCCTGAAAATGACGGAAAAATCCGTATATCCGATTTGGTACTGTCTTTCGAAAGTTGTGCGTTTACACACATTTTGGCAATAAATTTTTATCTGGTAGAGAAGACGAGTTCAGGTCTAAAGTTTTAACTGTCTGTGTGTATTTTACTCATTTTTCTCTGTTTCCACAGATAAAATCTTAACAAAGAATTTGATACAATGGTCAGCGAACTAATGAAACATTTCATTGATATCCAAAAATATATATCTCCTTGTCTTTGTAATAAAATGACAAAGTATGTGTATTTCGATACAGCGTACAGCGGATCCGTAGAGAGACATCAAAGATATACCGATTCGTATGCTTCGGATACCATGTTCATGTTCGGATAGTAACAGTACCTACGCGTTTGCCCTCGAAAGGGTTTTGCGTTGTTTTGCGTCACCCTTTCTATTATTTCCAAGGGTCATACATCACAGCATCCGTTACAGAGACCATTTTGATTTCTCGCAGATAGATTTATAGCAGTGAAAATAATCCCAACTTCCCTCTACCCCTTATTATCAAAACAAAGGGACAGAATAGAACAACATTGTTTCAGAACTAATATTAGAACGCATAAATTCATGACGCCTGTGTTAGCGGGGAAAGTTTAACCAAACTATTTATTTACGATAATCGTTGCACGATATCGGACCACCTGACTGAACAATATAGTATTTTTTGTACATTCGCTATCTTTATGGAGCTAGTTTGCGGTTTATGTAATGTTAGTTTAGGACATTGTATGGTTCTGAAATATTTCTTGACAATGAATGACTTTTATTGGGTTAACTATAATTTTAACTTCAAAATAGAAAAAAATAGTAGATCAAGCGGTTCGATGATTTAAATAAACATAAAATAAACTATATAAAATGGGCATAAGTACATCACATTATTCTCAGTAAACGAATTATATTGTTTTTTGAAGATTGTCTAACCAATTTCTATCATATTATCTATTTTTCAATATCTGTCGGTCATTTCGGAATATAATGAGTTCGTAAAAATACTATCTTTTCGCCCGGATTGCGAAGGGTGCGGGTTCGAGTCCTGTCTGCTGCCTGGTCCGCGTGGAATTTTTTCTAGTTATATTTTCTTTAGATTTAAACATCAAGCAGTTACATGCTTTAAAAAATTAAAAATTATATACCTACTATCTTTTGTAAATTACTAGGTACCTCTGCACATACAGCTTGCAGGTCAAAGTAAGTTTGCGCGTCCACTAGAGTAGTGCGAGGTTGCGTAGCGAGGAATGAATGAACCAATAGAATCGCTTTATTTACCTCACCTCACAGCTGAGATGAAATCTTCGGATGCATCAACGCGTAGACGGGGCAGTTTGCGCGTCTGAGTTAGGATTTTGTCCGTTAGTTGTCGGTTATTGAGGTACGCAACAGAGGGATTCTCGATGGCGCAGGTGGTTAGCGCGTTCGGCCTGCGATCGTGAGCAACTTTTGCAATGGTTGGTCATTGGACGGGTGACCAAAAACTAATTATCTCGATCTCTTCCGAGCTTTGGAAGGTACGTTAAGCCGTTGATCCTGGCTGCATCTGCAGTCGTTAGCACCCACCAATCCGCATTGGGCCCGCGTGGTGAGTCCATGCCCAATCTACCTATTCCATTCATAGGGGAGGCCTGCGCCCCTGGGACGATAGTGGGGACATTAATAGACTGATGATGATGATGATGATGAGAGTGATAACTTCCGCATTATCTTTGACATTTTATTTTCTTTGTTTCAGGTAGTGAAATTACGCTAAATGTCATCGCGAAGATTATGAATCGTACAGAATTTGACAAACAAAGTGCAAGAACAAAGGCCTATCTTTTAGTACCAAAACTTGATATCGTCTACTTTTTAAAACTTGAGAATTTGTTTCTCAGATTTTTTGTCATCAATTCTGTAGAAACTCAAAAGCTAGTATGAATGGCCAGTGAAAGCTATGCAAGTTTGATGAAGTGAAGTAAGGCATATCGTTGTGGTGATAGATTGTGGCTCAGGACATGAGGTTGAACCATGGTCGGCTGGTACTGCCTTATGGTTATAATGACTATGATCAGTACTGGGGTTCTGTCGCCGGCGCCTCAGAAAACTGAAATCAAGGAGACTTACGGTAAGAGATTTTATTTTATTAATTTCTTATGCTTGTGAATATTTCGAAGGAGTAAAAAATCGCACATACATTTTGATACTATTATATTACTTATCACTTAAGCGAAGTAAGTAAATTAAAACAATTTAGTAAAAGCGAAACTTCTTTACGCACGCGAAATTTCTTTGGGTGTGTGTTCGAAAAGTGTGTTCGGGCGAGGCGAACGGGAGTTGAGTGGGGGATATAAACAAGAGAAAGCAATGCGCGCTCACATTTTCTTTCTCTCTTTCTCTTATAGCTAGTAAATGAAATATGTATATGTTCATACATTGTACACACACACAGATACAGATGGAGCTATAGAAGTTTCACTTCAGTCGTGTGGTCATAAGCACACTCTCAGCCTATAGGTGCTTGCGATACAAAAAATATTACTTGCGGCTTTGCCTACTCTGACCCAAACCCCTACCCTCCCCACGGAGTCCTGGAACCTTACTTACCAACAGAAACCCAACACCACCAAAAGAAAGTTTTATTTTACTGTCGTATTCTGTAAGGTGGAAATTACTTCCCAAGACGGGCGCTTCAATTTGAGAGAAAAACCCGCTATGCCCCTCTCTCACTTTCAATACACGTTGTTAAATCTCAAGTGCTTCTAGTTCAAATAACTACAGGCATAGAATTGGATTTTGTGAACAGCCTAGGCGACCATTTAGCTGAATAAATCCAACCAGGTGTCTGCGTCATGTGCATCGGAGAAAACTCATTGATAGCAAATAAATCCGATACATTTGTGTAGTAGGATTTAGAAATCAGATACAATTGGAAAGAAGTCTTTCTGCTCGAACGGGATCGGCCATCTCGGAAAAGTAATCTTCACCTACCACATGTGCAGTGAAGTAACACTACCTTTGGTTGTTGTTAGTAGGGGATTAGGTTTAGGCTGGCGAGGTGAGGATGGCTGGCATAGGGACATATTTCATATCATATCAGGAGTTTTTAGGGTGCATGCGTGTAATTTTTATATGTAGATTTCTTTATTCCACTATAGCTTTAATATAAATTTCATTAGGGTCCTTATATAATCACGGATAACACTGGCTGTAAAAGAAAAAACAGGCATAGTTCGCCTCTGAATCAGTTATCATCGCAACTGGTATTTACTTACACTTGATCAGGCGAGGCGGGATAATTTTCTGCGCCTTATATAAAAAAATCATGCATCGTTTTCTAAATTGGCTTAATCGTGAGTTGAACTAGTTTAATTTGAAGACCAAACTAACCTAATACAAAGCGAGTGCTTAACCCAGATACTCCTGAAACATTTTATTGTGTCTGATTTTGATGTTTTTTTTTTTATATGAGGCCTCAAATCTGTCTAAAACATGGGAAAAATGTGAAAAAATAACTCGTGGAAAACCAGAAAAACGGTGTCATTTATAAACAACAAAAGTAGAATGCACTCCTATCAGGTATGCATGTAAACAGAAAACAGTTTCACTACAATCCTGTATTTTAATAATCTTTATGATAAAAATAAGTGAAAAAATGCCTAAATATTTTTTCACATGGAAGTAGGTATAATACACTCGAAACGGTTTTTAGCATGAAGAGTAAGTGTAAAATAATTGCCTTTTTACACGACTGCCAAAAGTAGTGTAATGTTTATTTCATTCAGAGTTCATTCTATGTTTTAACAAAAATAAGTTAAATAAAACTAGTTTTAACGGGTTAATGCACGAACTTTATTTATTTATTGACCTTTAGCAGCCTTTTCAGGTCTGCATCGCCAGAATAATTATTTTTTATTTACTTTCAATAAATAAATAAAGTTCGTCCATTACCCCGTTTAAAAACTAGTTTTATTTAATGAGTGATGGGCGTGAAAACCTAAGTAACAAAAAAAAATTAGGTTGACTCGTTTTTGACAAATGATCAGGGTGACTGTCTCTCCCGTATCTCTGTATTTCTTATTCTATTCTCTGTATTCTAGTGGTAGATACCATCATACCACGAAGATTCATGTTACGACCAGACGTACGAACATACCAGTCTCTTCTTGTCTATAGCTGATGCTCTCTAAATAAGTAAAAAAATTTGACAGTGCCTACATTTTTGTATTTGTGTTTTACGATGTGATGTTTTTAAACGACGGTAGTATAAAGTAGGTTAATAAAGAAGTTACTAAATCAATTTAAGAACGTTTAATGAAACTTTTGACAGTACAATTATAAACAGGTTAAACTCCTATAAAACATTTAATATTATATTACTTTGAAATTGATTCTAAACCTTTTTCGGTTCCGTAGTCAGAAGATAATGAGAGTTTATGACAAAAGTCAACATCGAGTTAATTCGAGTTGCTATTCCATAGCCAATGTGAAATTAGAAATTCAATTGAACGAGAAAAGTTGATTGTGATACCGATGGTTTATATGATACCCGTATGACACAAAAGCGGCTAAAATAACTTTCTAGTTTATCCGGAAAGTTTTCGGTTCGCTCCCTTAGTTGAACTTTGATTAAAATCTGCGGGCACCAGTTGCAGCTTAGTATTAAAAACAAAACAGGGCGAGTACTTAGATCCTTTTTACGTTTTGTTAAGAGCAAATTTAATATTGAAAAAAAAAAAACAAGTAACTGTTATAAAATATATAATAACAAAGCAATCGCGTTTTATAATTTGACCCTCTATTTAAAAAGTAAATTAGCTTTATAACGATACATAAAAACAAACAGGTGTAAGAGCAGTAAAAACTTATATATTGTTTTTCATCTCAAACCTTTGGAACTTACCTTCTTGTCGCGTTACAAAGATACGCTGCCTTGTGATGTACGATCTCGATAAGAGAGCTAAGGAAACATCTGTACGCTAAGCGCGATGAAGTGTGCGTCACTTATCTCTTACGATACTGTTTAAAGGTAACCATAGAGCAACACAGAAGAGAGTAGCCATAGCGACATAATGGCACAATTACCTTTGGTCGTTAGCCCGGATTCGGGTGCACGAAAGACGACTCAAATTAGGGCACCCGAAACATTTACATTGGAATACGGGCTGGAACACGGTGTCGGGTAACCAAAAGGAAAACTACCCTAATACGGACGTACTCGACTCTGTTCATTTACACTAAGTCGTTTACCCGAATTCTATTGGCACTCGCATTCGGGCTAACGACCAAGTTTAAGCAGCATTATGGTATTCAAATTATTCTGTCATTTTTTGCGGGGGGTATGCACACAAACTCAGTACTACGATACTCACGCATAAATAAAGACACAATACATCGCCAAATCCTGCATTAATGTATCGTTTGTATGCCCAACTTGACAGTGGGGAAAGCTATATATGCCTACTTCCCTCCTGGCCAAGTCGGACGTGTTGTTCTATGTATATATATAACGTATCGAGAGTGTAGTATGGAACTAAATGTTTAAAGCGCTTTATTTATGCAGATCGGCACTACTGGTACGCTCAGGCACAAGAAACTTTGCAGAAGAGACTCCAGTACGCGGCCGACAAAAACCCCGTAGCGAAGTGAGTAATATTCCCTAATATATTATAAGCACGCTTCAAATTTACAAGAGTTTCTGGCCAAAACTTTTTGTCGCTCCGCTGCAAAAGTTATATATTAGAATAGAATACTTTCTCATAAAAATGTTTTGTATTACAAAGTGACGAAGAATGAACAAACATTTCGAGGGTGTGGAAGCGATAAAATAGCATCACACGTGCTTTGTTTATATTATTTGAGCATTGTTGTTGCAACCTTTTCCGTCTACGTCTGTAAGGATATGCTTTTGTATCGTTTGGCTTCAGAGATTCAATTTATGTCTGAGTTGCTTCTGTCTATTGTGATGTTTTTTTATTTGTTTATTTTGAAGTGCATGTTGTATTTAGTATTCTAATTATGTCGAGGAGTTGACAGGTAGGCCTTTAAATGTAGTGTACTTTTTTTATTTCTAAAATCATTCTTAACTTTCCTCCTCATGACACATCTTAAGTGTCACAGAAAATTAGTAGTATCAACTTAAGTTAATTTCCAATAGGTACCTTTCACACAAATTAACCGATGATTAGTGAGTGTCGAATACCTAAAGCGGCAGTAACCACAACTACTGTGACGCCCACTTGATTACCAGCCACACACGCTTATTTCCGGGAAACATGACGTTGCTTGGCTGCAGTCCAAAAGCCTAACTTAACCGCTAACTTGCGTTATACTCAGCCAAATTTGTGTAAGCACAAATCCATACTAATATTGTTAATGCAATGCTCTGTCTGATTGTCCGTCACCGCTGTACGTCTAAGGTGCAGTACACACCAGGAGAGGCGTGGCGAAAATACTGAGAAGTTAACAATTAAAGTTAGACACTAAATATGTGGTGTGGATCCAGGCCATGTTAATTAATCGATTTAGAAGTTTTTTATGGTGATAAAGGGGACTTTGATGAAGGCTATTAGCTACTTTTTGTTTCGAAAAATGAAAAAAGTTTTTAAACGAAACCAATTATTGTACGCTAAAATATACCATCAGCACCCATCCACTAAATTCTTTCTGAATTGAATAATTTTGCTAAATTTTTCCCTTTAAATTCAACAACTCATTTTATCCGCTTTACCATATCGACGCTAATGTAACACTCTCAAAATAAATTCCGAATCATCCCTAATAGCAGGGAATGTATTTCACCTCCGGGGGTATGGTGCGTTTTATCTTAAAATAAATTATACCAACATTTTGAAACGAGGTGCTATCTTGGACGCGCGAAGAATACTGATGTTTTGCACGATCCAAGCTCATTGGTTGAATTGGGCTAATCCTATATTTATGTAGACCTGGAAGTGGTTGATTAAAACCAGACTCTGAGAAACCTTGGTCTTTCTACATGTGTAGTCTTTTGATTTCTGCAATAATATTTATATATTTTTTTGCTCTTGCCACTCGCAAACTAATATTTTATTCATCAATCACGGTAAGTAATTATCATCATTTCAAATGTGGAGTAAGCACGAATTACATAAGTTACGTATAAAAAAGTAAATAAAACGTGCTATGATAAAGCTCTTCTATAGAACTATATGGAATTGGATTCGAAAAAATATCGTGTGGATTTACTTTTTCTATATATTTTTGTCTATCTGTAATAGTTGTAATATGCCATTGGAAAATCTATTAAGCCAATCTTAAATAAATCTTATTTCATACGATTGTTCAAAACCAAACAAAAACGTAATAGGTTTTTATTAGAAACTTTAATTGATTTGGTTTGGAAAACAGCAGACATTAAGTTTTAGGTCTCGTCTTGGCAACTTTTGACAGGGAAATGTTTTTACAGGAGATTAATTTTACAGGAGTAAATAAAATAGTGATTCTTTTCGACATAATATGAATTAAAAGAGAAGAAGAAAATTCAATTTTAAAACGGGAGTTGTCCGAAGGTTGTTTTCTATTGACGAATTTCCCACTCGAAATTTTATTATACTCGTAGTCTGTCAATATTAGATCAGAATTTCGATTAACATGCAGGTAGAAGAAAAAATAATGTAAAGTTATTTAAATGGTACCTGTAATAGGTTGGTTGTTAAACAATTTCCACCGTAATTCCAGGCAGGTGCCAATTCAAAAAGGGTCGCACCCTATGGAGTGTTTGTTAATCAGGAGCTTCGTAAATTTCATGTTAACATTTTAAGGTTCGCGAAAATTCAGTTCCCCTGTATATGGAGCATGATAAATTATGTGACCTTCTATCCTATGTGCGATCCTTTTGTATAAATTGCTATTATTATCATCAATCATATTAGCTTCGTAGAGTATCTACCTTATTTTTGCTAAACATAAGTCAATTCCATTTTGGAACGAAATTCCTTTTTTGCAAGGTATGGCGGATGGCCGCTAACCGAAAAAAATAATAAAATATTTTTCCGTCTCAATGTAGCGAGGAAGATAGCTAGGCAGCTGGGTGGGCGACTACTGACAGCAGTGGCTGTGGACTCGGTTTAAAGTTTTGTTTAAAAGTTTGACGGAATAGGGGTGACCCACTATGCGCACCCAGTGTGGATTGATAGGTAGGATTTCTTTTGTGGAATAGTCCAATCTTCATTCGACTATGAGCTGCCACGCGGCCCCAGTGAGGATTGGTGCATGCATAGGATACTTTTTTTTGGGCTGGAGATTGGACGATGACCTATCATCCAGTCTTAGCGTGGATTGTTAGGATACATTTTTTGCTAGGATACATTTTTTGCGAAATAACCGTGCTTGTTGGTGTTGAAGATTATTTTGTAGCGTAAGACGAACGTTAATGTTAAGGTTTGAATGAGCCATCCAGTTCTGCATGGGCTGTTGTTAGGGTTCGACTGACGTGGACTGTTGCAAGCATATAGGACTTACGATTTTTTTGTTTGAATCTCAAAACAATATTTTGATTTGACGATGAGTGATTTGACGACAAATAAATGTAAATCCGGCATTAGTCGGATGACAACAACAACACTGACTAACCGCTATTGACAACAGGTGTAACTAACTAATGGCGAAAAAATTATGCTTGACGTTGTATGAGAATATCTTTTACAAAACATCAAAATGCGCGTGAAAATATGAACAGACTACTACAATGGTATTACTAGTCTACTAAAGGTTATAATAAAAATAATACTTTTACTGTCTGTAGGAACATCATTCTTGTTGTTGGAGACGGGATGAGTTTGACAACTGCGACAGCCGCAAGAATCCTAAGGGGACAAAGAAGAGGTCAGACAGGAGAGGACACTGACCTAGCATGGGACACATTTCCCGCAGTGGCACTGGCTAAGGTTAGTTTTCCTGTTATTGATAATGTATGTGTTAACTTACTGTATGCTTTACTGAACTTGCTAGTGAATAGTTCAGAAAAAATGCTGAAGAAAAAATGGAAATTAATAAATTTATTCCCTCCATATCAAAATACTCGTCGTTAGCATGCAATCTCAGTATCATATTTCAGTGATTTGACGCATTTTTTTGCAAACGATTATGGTATAATGGTTGTTAATAATGATAAATTATTACAGTGTATCCACTCCAAATACAGATTTGGCATTCGCACGCTGGTGGAAATTGCAAAGAAAAAATGATGTCAAAAATTATATAATCGTTTCTGTCATCAAATATGTTTATTAAATACATCTTATAGATAGTGAAATTAAAGCTGACAGATGTCAGGATGTGGGAGTTATTATAAAAAATATTATTAAACTGTAAGAAAAGTAGTTAGAACTATATAATTCCATCGTCTTTTCAAAAATTATTGTTATGTTTTATAGAGTATTTGTAAATGTAAGAAAAAGGTGGCAGTCATCTACAACTCTAATTTTAGATTTTATTTTTTGGAGCGTCTAAAGTGTTTTGGATCACCTATATTTCTCACTTTGTCTTTGTGACCTTCATTCCTGGTTTTAAACCACCTTTCTTTTTAGCTTTCTTATCCATGCGAACCTTCAATATATGAAATGAAATGTAATGAAAAACAATTATTCGGAACAGACATGGTCATTTAGTATATATACATATATATATACTAAATGACGGACATTAAAAAACATACATTACATATATTTTTTTTGATTTATTTTGGCAACAAACAGTCATTTACCTAATATTGAAGTACATGCATATATGTTAATATTAATAGACCAAACAGCGCCCAAAGTTTATTACATTTAAAGCAAATAGAGTCTCAACATAGTCAGATTTGCACGTGTATTCATCTAATGCTAACAATTTATTGACATTAAATGTTAACAACTTATAACACAAATAGAAATTTTATTAAACACTATTTTTTTGGTTTTTCCATCAATATATAAATTAGTTTTCTTTTTAAACTATTGATAGATATATTACAAAGATCCAAATCGGAACGTTGGTGGAACAACACATATAAGAATTACGTGTATAGTTTTTGCGTAACGGCGAAGGAACAAAAAATGGCAATTTACGTGAGGAACGCACCGGGAGACGAACTCGTACTAAAATGGAAATTTTGCTGAGAAGAATGGACGAATCAATTTGTAAGTTTAAAAGTTTGAAAAGAAAAATAATGTCTAATATTTTACGACGATTAGAAAAACTAAGCAGTTTATATCTAACCAAAGCTTCACTGTATGATTTATCGGTTACATTGTTGCGAAAGTTAAGAAATTTAATAAATTTACTCTGCACTATTTCTATTCTTTGTATATGTTTTAGATAACATGGGCTCCAAACCGTGCTGCAAAAATGTAGAAGAGATATGACGTAAGAAAAATATACAATTTTAAGGGTGATAATTTCTTTGAAAGGCTTACATATTCTGAGTATATATCCTAATCTACTAAAAGCTAAGTTTAATATGTGGTCTATGTGAGGATTAAAAGTTAGTTCCGAATCCATAATCAAACCAAGGTCTCTAATTTTAGTGACGCGCTTGATATTGTTGCCTTCAAATGTGTTTTGAAAGTTGTACTGTTTCTTTTTTCGGGTAAAAGATAATATAGAACACATATTTATATTTAAAAACAATTGAATGGATGAACAGTAATTACTCAGAGCTTCCAAATCTTCTTGCAAACTTCTTACAATCGTCCATAGATTTTACTATCTTAAATTTTTTTGCGTCATCTGCATATAGTAAGTGCTGACTATGTTTGATAACGTCACCGATGGCATTAATATACAAAGAAAAGAGTAAAGGGCCTAAATGAGAACCTTGCGGTACACCTGAAGGCACAGGAAGGAATTGTGATGTATAACCTTTGATACAAACTGCTTGAAATCTATTTTTAAAATAAGATTCGATCCATCTCAGCAGGTTGCCGTGTATGCCGGCCCTGTCACTAACACGGGTAATTGAGTCTAAAGTCCACGAGGGTGATTTGACGGGAGCGGTTCGGTTACTCATGAGCGAAGACTCCATTGCACCGCCGGGACCGGAGACTGTTGCTGCCCTTCAATCAAAACATCCGCATCCGTCCCGTCTTCTTCATTTTCCACCGGAGTCGGTCTCGTGCATTGTGATGGATGAATGGAGGATGGATGGAGGATGTGGTGCTGGCTGTTAACTCTTTTTATAATGGATCAGCTGCCGGCTTAGATGGCATTCGTCCTTCCCATTTGAAGGAATTGATTTCTAGTTCTGCGGGAGATAATGGTCAGCGCTTGATTAAAGCCTTAACTAGGCTCAGTAATTTTTTGCTCAGTGGGCAATTGAATCCTGATGTGTTTCCCTATTTATATGGGGCGACACTATGTGCCTTGAAGAAGAAGGAGGGTGGGTTGAGACCTATCGCGGTAGGGAGTGTGCTTCGGCGCTTAGTGGCCAAGCTGGGATGCCGAGCTGTGAAGGAGCAAATGGCTTCCTACCTTCAACCACATCAATTAGATTTTGGGATACGTCTAGGTTGTGAGGCGGGAATACATGCCGTTCGGACTTTTGCAATGGATCCGGAGAATGTGGATGGAGTGATAGTTAAGCTAGATTTGAAGAACGCCTTCAATACTCTTGAAAGGGACGTCATGCTTCATGAGGTGATGGAGAATATCCCTGAGCTTTATCCTTTCCTCCACCAGGCATATCATATACCTTCTAACCTATATGTCGGCACTGATTTAATCCTGTCCCAGGTTGGTGCGCAACAGGGAGACCCCCTCGGCCCCCTCGCCTTTAGCCTTGCCATTCACAAAGTGATCTCTGAGCTCAAAGCGTCCCTCAACATCTGGTACTTAGATGATGGGACCATTGGGGGTAAACCAGAAGAAGTGGAAAGGGACTTAGCTTTCTTATTACCTCGTCTGGGGGTGTTAGGTCTAGAGGTAAATTTTACAAAATGCGAGTTCTTTTCCTGTAGTTCGGTGGCATCTCAATCCTTCTCGTCTTTCACTTGTTTGCTTCCGGGCCTCAAGGAGCTCAATAAAGATTCTTTTAATTTGCTTGGTGCTCCTATTTTTCCATCTGCAGTTCCGGAGGTCATGAAAACTCGTAAGGATGTTCTCTTGCTGGCCAGCGAGCGTCTAGAGGCCATTGCTCCTCACGTTGCTCTAGTCCTCTTGCAGAAATGTTTTGCCATCCCAAAAATAACATACCTCCTTCGGACGGCTCCAGTTTGGATGTTCCGTGGTGAAATTTTTTTTGGGCGGTAGGTGTGAAATAAGGCAACATTGCTTCTATATGTTAATTTGATTTAAAAATATTTTTACATAGTATTTTTCATAAATTTCACTTCAACTAGTTACTATTTACCTCTGGTTGCCGCATACATTGTAGGCTGCATTGTGTGATGTCAATCTGAGAAACTAACCAGCATTATCCTGCCATCACATCACTCTTTGTTGTTTGCACAAATTTTATATTCTACATTTCACATCCTGCCATCACATCACTCTTTGTTGTTTGCACAAATTTTATATTCTACATTTCACAATGAGCAGTGTTGCAGCAGTACTAGAAACACAGAAATCACTGGAAATCACTTTGATGCAAAGAATGCAGCAGTTTGAATCACAGCTGAAGTCATCATCAGATAAGGAAAAGGTGCCTCAGATTCAGGATGAATTCAAGTCGTTCAAAGAGCTGGTTTGGAGTATTCTTTCACTACTCAGGCAACAAATAGGTGAGATATTAAAATCCCTTGACCAGCACGAAGCACGGCACAGAAACAAACATCTCCTTCTCTGTGGTGTACCAGAAAATCCTGATGAGGACCTGAATTCTTCTGTTGCGACATTGCTAAAGAAACATCTGGGTGCCTCCATTGATTCAAGTTCCATTAAATTGTGCTATAGACTTGGGGCTGTAACTGAGGGTCGTAAAAGACCCGTGGTTATACGTTTTTCCAACTATTCACTCCGGTCCTCTGTGTGGAAAAGCAAGACCAAACTCAAAGGGTCCTCACTTCTTATGAGAGAATTTCTCACCAAGACTCGTCAAACCCTGTTCTACTCCGCACGAAATCATTTTGGAGTTTCCAGTGTGTGGACCATGGATGGGAATGTTTTCATTAAAACACCGGATGGCGACCGTCTACGGATCTCCTGCAACGACGAACTAACTGCGGCTATGAAGCAGTTTCCCAGCACAGAAATTGCGGAAGTTCCGGTGACCAGTGAGCCTGTCGTTGATCCGACAACGCCCCAGCCGGCGCTGACGCACACACGGTCGAAACGTAACGTAAAAGTTGTTAAAAAGTGAGTTTTTACAATGTAGTTTCCATCTCTTTGTTTGTTTTGAAAAAGATTAACTAAACTGTGATGTTTTCGGTTGTTTTGTTGTGCTTGCTGCTTATGCATCATTATTTGTACTTTCCGTAATAAGTGGGTAGCTTCACTTGCAATACTTGTTTAGTATTTTTTTAACTTAATCTTTTAAATTCAAATGTAAGGTAAACATAATCTAAAATAATGTTTAATCAATTTAATCAAGTGACAGTGGCATGATATGTCAAGGTCAACCTTATGTCACCTCAGCTTTACGTTCCGTACTTCTTCTTTTTCTTTTTTATGGCATGCATTACGTTCCGTACTAACGTACGCTTTTAGTTTTCAGCCATTTAAGGTAGGCGGAGATATTAATGTTATACTGCCATGTTACTATTTATTTTTTCTGTGTTTTAATATCAAGTGTGTTATGGTTAAGTCCTAATATTTGTACGTAGTGAAGTGTGTAAAACTCTGTTTCAACCGATTGTCTCATAAGTTTCATAAGAATTATCATGTTTTTTGTGTATATTCGAACCAATAGTAAAATATGTTTTTTTGAGTGTATGTTACAAGGTTTATCTCTCTCTTCCTGTCTTTGTTA